ACACACCTTCTATGCATAGGTAACACATTTGTTTATCCATTTACCCAATTGATGGATACCTGGATTGTTTCCAACGTTGGCTCTTATGAATAATCAGCCAGGAATATTCCAATACCAGTCTTTGTGTGTGTGTGTTTTTTCCTTCGTGGGTTCTTTTTTAATTTTTTTTTTATTTTTGGCTACTGAATTCCTAACATTGGGCTTGCTTAGTCACACACTTCATGAGTCATATGTACACGTAAGTTCATGTTGACTTTTGGGAAGAACTGCCCAACTTCTTCCCTGGGGCTAAACTGCCTTACAATTTTATTGTAAGACACAAGGGCTTCAGTTACTCTACGTTTTCATGAACACTTGGAACTGTCTGCATTTTTAATTATAACCATCATTCTTGTAGGTGGGAAATGGAATTTCACCATTGTGTGTGTGTGTGTGTGTGTGTGTGTGTGTGTGTTGGTCCTAGGGTTTGAACTTCAGGCCTGGGTACTGTCCTTAAACATTTCTGCTCAAGGCCACAGCTCCACTTCTGTTTTTTTTTTACAAGTTAATTGGAGATAAGAGGTTCAGGGACTTTCCTGCTCTGTGCTGGCTTCAAACTGTGATCCTCGTCAGATCCTAGCCTCCTGAGTAGCTAAGATTACAGGCGTGAGCCATTGGTGCCTGGCTGGCTTCCAGGGTGGTATCAAATTTCATTTCTTTAATGACACTGAGTAGCTCTGAATGTGTTTAGTAGCTCTTCCTCGACCTTCTTCAATGAAATATGTATTTTGATCTTTCGCTCTGTTTTACCACATTGAGCTGACCTATTATTGAGTTAGGAATTTGAATTTGATTTTAAAGAGATCTGGTACCTCTATGAACCAGATGGCTTCCTAACATTAAATAACAGAATCCCACCAGCGCGTTTCTGCCCATCGCAGCGCTCTCTCCCATCAGCTTCCTCCACTTCACACAGTGAGTAATGCTTCTCATTTAATTTTCAAATTCCCTAGCAGGAAAGTGCGATGTGAGCTACTAGGGTGTGTGTGTGTGTCCATTAAGGATTGTGTGCCAAGATCTGCCCGTGAGGGTTGATGGCTGTCATTAGCCAGGGAGATGAAGCCTGGAAAACACGCTGACTCAGCAGTGTGTGTGGGGGGGGCGGGGGGAGGGTCTCCCCCACAGAACTGAACCTCTCAGACTGAAAGAGAGAGAGAGAGAGAGAGAGAGAGGCCAGGAGGAAGGTCGTGGAAAGCGATCCTGCCTAACTTTCTGGTCTAGCCTTGGTTTAACCAGAGCTGGCCTGAGCAGGTGGGAGGCTAGGATGGGTCTCCCTCTGTGGTCACAGTGCAGCCACTGTCCCACAGGTGAGACACAGGGGGGGGGGAAGGGGAGGAGGAGCCGGGCAGGTGGCTCCGTGGCAGAGCGCTCGCCTCGCATGCGTGTCAGGCCCCGGGTTCGAGTCCTCAGGACCACAGACACAGGAAAAGCCGGAAGTGGCACTGTGGCTCAAGTGGTAGAGCGCCAGCCTTGAGCCAAAGAAGCTCCAGGGCAGCGCCCAGGCCCTGAGTTCAAGACCCAGGACCTGCAAAAACAAGACAAAAAGGAAGTGAGGCAGGAAGTTGTCTAAGGGAAGCGCAGAGGAGGGGCCGTGTCTGCACAGCGTCCCCTCCAGAGTCCCGGCTGGGCCAGGTGCATCCTTTGGGGACAGGGGTGCTCAAGGGCGTCTGGACCACAGCCTAATCCCTAGGGATTCCCCGCAGGGCGCCCACTCGGCCTTCCCGGGAGGAATTCCCATCGAAGCCACCCCAAGGGCATCATTGAAAAGCAAGGACGTTGGAGCTGCTGGGCGGTGACCATTTGTGCATGTAAGGACAGGATGCTGAGTGTCCGGGGACAGGACCCCCTCCTGCCCTCCCTCAAGGCTGGACATGTGGAGGGATTCCAAACACGGAGGTGAATATAGGAGGAGGACAAGACACCAGAGGAAAAGAAAGGCATCCACGTCACGGAAGAAATGTCCTTAACCCCCCAACCAAACTCCCCTAACCCCCCGCACAGATCTGAACACAACCCCAAACAAAACAAAACCCCCTAAACAACAAAGAAGGAAGAAAAGAAAATGACAAAAAGAATTAAAACTCCTCCCTAGCCATAAAAGAAATGCAAATCAAAACAACATTGAGATACCAACTGACCTCAGTTAGAATGGCTATAATCAAGAACTCTAATAACCACAGATGCTGGAGGGGATGTGGACAGAAGGGACCCTTACT